CTTCATGTTTTGACTACTGCTATGACCAGCTGCAAAGCTGGTAACAGAGACGTCTCGGTTGACGTTTCTGTGTAGTATGGGGCTAGCCCAACCGAGGGGATATAATGTATAGGCCTGCTTGGTTCAAGGTCTTTCATCTTACATCTGCCTGCGAGCAGTTTGGAGGTGCAAGATACCTGAGCATGTAATGTTAATTTTACCTGTGATCCTTTGAATAAATCAGCACTGTTTTGAAGTTACTTGGACTGTCTCGTCTCTCAGAGTTAGCAATGGTAAGAAGAACCAAAGTCCTTCACTGGAAAGGATCTGGACTTCACTGTTCTCAAAAGAATGCCCTTTGTCCTTCAGGTAGAGGTGGACTGGTGACTCTGGTCCTGTGTTGGGCCATGCGTTTGTGCAGTGGCTGTTTAGTTTCCCCAACATACAGGTCATTACACTCTGACTACATTGAATTGCATACACCACATCAGATACCAGACCCCAACGACTCAGTCATTAGAGGACATTGTTGTGCACCATGGGACTGGAATCCCAACGACTCAGTCGTTAGGGGACACTGTTGGCCATCGAAGGACTGACACACCATCCAGTGGGAAAAATACCTCCTGCTCACCACCAGTCGGACAGAACTGATGAAGCTTCTTGGATGAGAGGTGAAACGTCTTCTACCTAAAACTACTTCCAGATGCTTTCTTCTAAGTTTTTTTTTTTCAGCATGAAATGATGAATGGAGGTTTAATTGGTATCTCAACCAGCACCACCTTGTGCCTTAAAACACACTTAGTTCTCTGTGGTTTGTGCTCTAGTTAACAATACCCAATTAAATGTGCCAAAAGTTTGGTGAGCCTTCCTGTCGAAGCCTAGTAATCCAGTTTAATGTTGTGACCCATCACTGGGCCATGCAGTGGGTACTAGGCTGTGCTGTCATAAACCTGCTCAGCCCCATGGAAGTCAATGCCATTCTGTAGCCCTAACCTACAGTGCCATTAACCTGACTGTTAGGTTATTTTTTAGTTAAATAGATATTCAGAGATTTGTTGTCTATGAATGTTTAGTGCAGACAGGGTGACTAGCTTAGGCTGTTAACTATTCAGCCTGCAGTGCAGACTGCAGGCACGTCAAGGTTACAGGAAAACTGCTGTTAGTGTCAACTGTAATGCTAGTCTTAATATTTGTCTTAATGTGTAAGGTTATGTCCAATTGTTTTAGATACACACCACGAAAACAACAGTCACGCACCTTGACTTTTCCTCATGTTTTGGCTAAACGTTATAGCAGCTGCAAGGCTTGCTTATCGGGTGACGTCACGGTTCGACAGCCCAGAAAGGATTAATATTGTATAGCAATGCTTGGTTCGGGGTCTTTCTGCTTCCGGGCTGCTTTTGGCAGGCTGGGGGTTGGAAGATCTCTGGACTGGAAGTGTGAATTCTTGCCTGTGACTCTTTGAATAAACCAGCACGGTTATATTTTTTATATACTCAAGTGGTCTGAGTCGTCCCTCTGAGTTCCTGGTTTGAAAGAACCGGATGAGGCTTTATAATGGAACAGAAGCCTTTCACTGACCTAACATGCTTTAAATTCCTAGCTATCCTAGCTAACCAGAGTCAGATTCCCTGTTTGTTCAACATACTTAGCCAATACAGCTGATTATGATCATCCCTGCTTATCCAGCTCCTGGTCCTATTAGTAGAGTAGTTACCAGTTATATCAGAAAAACTAGTGCACATTTAAACTGCTCTTGAAACCTATTCTCAAGCAATGACCAAATACTTGGTGACATCCTTATACAATATTTGCTATGGCTAAATGGCACACATTTGAACCAAACACAGTTCAGCAACCATGTGCTTTCTA